GGCTTTGTAAACAAATACAGAGGCAGGGAGGACGTGGTTGCTTCCCCATCTTTAAGACCTTGTCAAGTTCTTGTTCAAATGGAAATATAGGTCAGAGTCGATCAAAGGCAGAGAGGGGAAGGAGTGATGCACGCGTGCATGTGTGTGTGTGTGAGAGAGAGAGAGAGTGAGAGAAAGAGAGAGAGACAGACAGACAGAGACAGAGGAAGAGGGAGAGAGGCAAGAGGGAAGGGAAGAGACACAGAGGGAGGAGAGGAGGGGAGAGAGCAAGAGAGAGAGAGAGAGCACACTCTGGTAGCATACTAATAACAGCTCCTAAGAGATTAGTCTGGTTATGACATTTATCTGGGGATTTGAATAGTCTCTGGAAGTCCTAAGAGTCTAGCCTTTTCTTGTCATAAGTAAACTCTCATAGTGATTCTATGATACCCGATGTATCCTTCATACCAAGGGTGACTTACAAATTAGATCAGGCCCCACAGTCATCTTCAGTTCAGATTTTCGTCTTTAAAATTGAGCCTATTTAAGGTTCTTGGCCTATGGTACCTTATGAAGCATTTTCTTAAAACTGGCAATGATGTAAATAATGAAAAATTTTAAATGGATTGTGTATAGACACACACATACACACACACAGACAGATACACACACACACACACACACAGCATTTGGTTCCTCATGTGTTTTTGGAGTTTTTAAGATGAATGATGCTATGGACATCCTAGATTTTCAGGAAAGGAGAAATTTCCAGAATGGCCTAGTGATGCCATCTCTCTCTCCATATAATAACTACCTCTTCTTTTGACAAACAGGTCTGGGCTCAACTGAGAAGTATAAATACCATTTAGAGAGACCTACAAAAACAAATATATAGGTAGTTAGGAAAAAGCATTAATTGAAAGCTGTTAACAGTTGAGGTGTGTCTAAATATTCTGAGCCATCTCTACCTTTAGTATAAGTAAGAAAGCCACAGAAGAAGAAAAATAGTCAGATGTTTCTAAAAAGAATACCTCTTACCACCTAATGTCTTCTGGGGGTGAGGGTATAGGGGATGGAGTGTTGGACTTGGAGTTAGGAAGACCTGAGTTGACTCCTGCCTCAGATGTTTGTTGTATGACTGTGGCCATGGAAAAATATTTAATACCTCTCAGCCTCACTTTCCTCATATATAAAATGGGAGTAAGAATAGCACCTGCTTCACAGGGTTGTTGTGAAGAAAAAATGAGATAATATCCAAATAAAACACTTTCCAAACCTTAAATGGCAAATTATATAAACTTTAATTATTATTATTCTGACTGAACAGCAATAGATGCCTGTAGGTATTGGTAAGTCAGTCAATCTTTAAGCATTTATTAAGTCCTTACTATATGCTAGGGACTGTGCTAAGTGGTGGGGATGCAAAGAAAAGCAAAAACATAGTCCCTGATCTCAAGGAGCTCACATTTTAATGGGGGAGATGACAAACAAGTATATGCGAGACATAGACTGCATAAATAGGAGATAATCTCAGAGCGAAGGCACTAGTTTGTGGGGTATGGTGGGGGGGGGGGGTTGGGGACCTAGAAAAACCGCTTGCTGAAGGTAGGATTTCAGCTGAGCTCTGAAGGAAGCCAAGACAAGGAGGTAACTAGAGAGAGCATTCCAGGAATGGAGTAGCAAGTGAAAAAACATGGAGGGAGAAGGATATTGAGATGACAAGCCCGAGTGACTGGAAAGATGGTCATGCCTTCTGTAGTAATAGGAAAGGCTTGGAAACTAAAGTGTCATACCAGTATCCTTTGGGATTCCAGGGATATAATCACAAAAGTTCAGTGGGAAATAGCATCCAGGTTCTCACCACTGCCCACCCTCATTCCCCTCCTCCCTTAAAATACACACTATTTCTGTAGCGCTGATTTCTCCAATTGAGTTAATTTGGTGAGCAAAGGGACATTCCAAACCTGTTACCCTAGAGACCAATCCTCGACAATAGTCCAGTTTTCGGCCAAATTCTTCAGCAGCAGTTTAGGCAGTGGTTGTGAGTATTTCTTACAAACTGCTAAAGCATTTTCTGGAAGGAATTCCCCAAAGCCCTATGCTAAACATAGGAAGTATAAGACGGTGAAGATTTTGCAAAGGTAAAAGTTGAGTGGGTTTGTAGATGTTTACCGTGCCTTCATTTTTTGAGATCCCTGAAGTATTATTCATTTGTTTTATTTGTTTGCTTGCTTGTTTTGAGACTGGTTCTCCTTCTCTTAGCCAGGTTAGAAATGCAGCAGCCATTCATGGGCCTGACCCCACTACAAATCAACATGAAAGCTTTGATCTGTTCCATTTCTAAACTGGACCTCTTCATCCCTATTTAGGAAGCTTTTTGGCCTCCTATTCCCCAGGGCTCACCAAAATGGTACCAGACTTAGTGTGGATACTCCATAGGTTTTTGCCCTACTGCAACTCAGAAACCTCGAACTTAAGAGATCCATTAACCTCTGCCTTGACCATAGGCATATGCCACCACTTCTAGCTTCCTGAAGTATTTTTCTAAGAACTGGTGCAAGCAAGGAATTGCAGCTCATCCCACTTGCTCCAGCCATGCTTCTGAAGGCCATGTCACATAACAACTGACTGCCCATATCCAAAGCATAGTTAAAGGAAGAAGTCTCAAAGAACTAAAGCTGGAAACATTTCTTTATAAAGGAATTTTATTGCATAACTCTTCATAATACAATAGGCATAAGAAAAGCTCTGTCCATTGAACATTTTGTAACATTTTTGAAAAGTTTGTAGTGTTTAGAGGGGGAAAGTGGTATTACAAATCTACTTAAGGCAAAAATATTTGATTCAACAATTCAATAAGTTCAATTCAACAAATAATATTGAGTGCCTTCTATGTGTAAGGCACTGTCCTAGGTGCTGGAAGATACAAAGATGAAGACACAATCCCTTCCCTAGTTTACATCCCTTTTCCCCCCATTATTCATATTTAAAGAAATGCATTTCAAATAAAGTAACAATATGGAAGACTATTGTAAAATACATTCTCAAATTGCTACATCATTTGGATTCAGATTTGAACAGCATAAAAGAAGTGCAAAGTTAAATATAAAGAAATGCTCTCATAAGGCAGTATTTATATCATTGCTCTCTCAAGTCCCGTTCTTGTGACCACAAGCAGATCAATGTTTGTACTGCATAATATGAGCAGGGTCCACCATCTTCTAATAGCATGACAAGGAAATCTATCTTGCCTCGCACCATGCTATAATGCATGGAAGGAGAGCACAATGAATTTCCTATTTAAAACGGTATAACTCCCACAGATCACATGCGCCTCACCATATTGACTCAGTTCACTGCACTCCATATCCTGCAAAAATAAATCTGGTGCATGACAGCTGACATTATTGCTCATTGAACTTTTAGTAATATATTTTTTGACATAAGACAGAAATATACTGAAATTTGATAATACAAATTCAAAAGCAACATGGAATTAAAACACATGTACACCCCCCACTTCTTTTTTAATGGACATTGGTGTTTTTTCTTAAAATTGATGTTGGAAAATGCAAGAAGAGAAAAATGGGCTTTCCTGGAAGAAAAAAAAATGAAGGAAGAGAATAATTCTTTCCCAGGAAATACTAAACCCTACAAAGATAAAGATGAAGGAATGGCAATGAAGAAACCAAAGGATAGGAGGCCCCCTTTCTTCTTTACCTTTCTCCACCAAAGTGTAATGTGAATGTCCAATTAAATCTAAGCAGGTTTTTCTATAAGCTAATGAAGAACTTTGCAGCTATAGTCAAAGCACTTGGTATTTCTTATTACTTGGACTACTGAACCTTCTCTGGATTCCTCAGAACTATAGATCATGAAAGGAATGACTGGGGGAGGTGGGGCTCCACCTCGACTAGGAACCAGCTGAGGAGAATTCATGAACATATGGGGTACTTCCAGTGCCTGCTTGGGTCAACCTCAAAAGAGCTGTCCAAGGAGGCCTAAATGTAGTAGATCCCTGAAATGGAGCTGGGGGTAAGGCAGCTATAGACAGGTCTATCTTAGTCCTGATTTCTACCTCAGGGAGGAAAGAGGTACCTTGGGTGTTTTAGAGCACAAGGAGAAGACGGGCCACAGGGTTGACAGGGAGAGACTCAAATCCATCTAGATGTAGTCCATTTTGCAATAAAAAGGCAGCAAGATTTTAGAGACCTAGGATACATCTTAGGGACTCAGAGCACAAATGCAACTAACATTGGCACTCAAATCTTTTTTGGTTTTACTCACTTCTTTTCTTTTCCCAGTGTTCCAAAGAATTCTTTCCTCATCTTTGATTTAGTTCCCAAAGAGGCAATATGGTACTTTCCGTGAGTTTTTCTCCATTCCCATCTTTTTAATTACTTATAAAAAAGAGTTGCGTTTTCAAACTCAGGCCGTAAGCTATAATTTCAGTTATCAATTACTAACTGGTACAAATTAGATCTGGTATTAGTCGGCAAACATTCTAGGCCACTGCACCATTGGGTGACATCACTCCTTCTTGTAGTCCTCCTCCAACCTTATTGTGCACAACAATGTCTGTCCCCAATCTGACTAAATATTAAAATACAAATGTGCAAGAATAAAACCACTCCCTATTGCTACAAAGAAAAATTTCTGGCTCTCAGCCCTACTGTTTCCATGCCAATCCACTAGGTGAACCTCATCGCTACTCCTTTCCATTTCAATTGTTAAGCCTGAAATCTTTGAGGCTCTTAGGACCAGAAAAAAATTTTGCTTTGAAAATGGAGAATATTACAATAGTTTTAATATTTAGAGGTAGCTAGGTGGCTCGGTGCATGGAGTGATGTATTTGGAGTCAGGGAAGACCTGAGTTTAAATCTTGCCTCGGACATTTACTAGTTGCATGACCCTGGCAGGTCACTTAACCCTTCTTTGCCTCAAGTTTCCTCATCTGTAAAATGAGTTCAATAATAGCACCTACCTCCCAGGGTTATTGTGACAGTCAAATGAGTTAACATATGTAAAGCACTTTGCAAACCTTAAAGCACTACATAAATGCTAGCTATTATTATTAATATTTTTATTAATTATACAGCAATATAGTGCTTTTGCCCTGAGGATTTCAGTGCACTTTACATATGCTTTAATTCCCATTTCACACATGGGGACGCAGGCATAAATATAGTAATGTTTAACAAAGAGCAGACCAATGACAAGTATGGGACTGGAATCTAAGACACCTAATTCCTGACTTCCTGCTTTAATCCCACTAATCTCACATCCACATTTATAGAGTGGCCCTGAACCCTCTTGGATGGTAGCACATGTATAGGGCCCTGGTGAGTTGTCCCATGCCCTGTCTGCCCAAGCATGATCCGCCATGCAAAGGTTCCAGTCCTCAGTGTATCCCTTCATTTTTCCATCACATCCCCTACTTTGGTTTGAAGCTTCCCATTCCCAATATTTTAATTTAAGCAGTTCAAGTTTCCCAAACTGTTGTCTCGGTTGCAGCTGGTGTTGGGTGTGGAAGGGGGGACTTCTGAAAAAGCCATGGCAGGTGTTTTTCAGCGTGAACCTTGAGCAAAATGGAGCCCAAAGTTTTACGTTTGTCTTGCATTCCAATGTTTTCAATGGAAAATAAAATAAAGGCATGAAAGTGACATAATGTTTACTTCCCCCTCCCACGATACTCCCTGTACCCTCTCAGATTTGGCAGCAATTTAACATAAGGAAAGACTTTAGAACTTCACACCATTTTAGTGGGAATAAACTGCCTTAGCTCAAACTTTCCACAAAGCCTACAAGTATGGTAAGGCATCACTCTATCCTTATCTTCAATAGATCTATACAAATGCCCTAAGGCCATCTGTCTTGCAGGTCTGAACTCACTATCCAGGTTCAGTTCTCTTCAAATTGCATTGACACTGGAGTGCTCTAATTTGGAGTCTGGAGGCCAAATTGCCCTTTTCTTCTTATGCAAGGGAGAGATTCTTTAAATTCACTTTTAAGAAAGTATTGCAGCTTAGTACTCAAATATCTAGTGATAAGGCATTCTCAAAACTATCTCTTTTCCCCCAATCTACATACAAATAGTTAAGATTTTCATTAATGGCAAAATATACTCATGTCTAAGGCCTTTCTCTGTTTAAGCAAAAAGGAAGAGGAGAAAGAAAACATCAATAGCACAAACTGCCCTTCTATGTTTGAAAAATATATATGCATATATGAAATAAGATAGTAGTAGACAATTTTGATTTTTTTTCCCCTACTAACTGGTAAGATCGTTGTCTCATATCGAATTTCATTCTACAGCTCCATTTTGCCAGCTTCAGTAGGGATGCTGACACTGTTGTCTTCGGCGTTACCATTCTCTGCAGGAGTGAAAGACAAGGAAGCAGAATTTATGCAGTATCTTTTGCCAGTTGGTCGGGGCCCGTCATCGAAAACATGCCCAAGGTGAGCACCACACTGAAAGAGAAGATCAAAACGTGAGGAAGAAATCTGTACAAAGCAGGCTTTGAGTTGTACTCCTATTAAGTGGCTTAAATGGATGACTAGCCTAGAGTGGAATGATGGAAACCATCTTGGACCATTTCTAATCTACCTGTCAATAGCTGTGGGGATGGTTTCTGGCAGGCGTTGCACCACATGCCGAGAGCCAAAAAAAACAAAACAAAAAGAAAAACCTCGAACTGCGTATATCAGAAATCATATATGAGCCACTGCATTTTTTTTGATCTGCGAATTCTCTCAGCCAGCTGAAAATGACTGCAGTAATTTTATGAATTGAGTTTGACCCTTGATCTCCCCCTTGTAAGAAACATGGCAGAATAAAATCTCTTCCCCCTCCCCCCATTACTTTTGGCTTTGGATGGGTGGATTTCAGATATGCAAAAGTCCACTGTAAAAGATACTGCTTAACTGGCCATGACGGAGGTGATGTTTGCCTTCATGGGCAGTAAAACTTAACATCAGACAAGCATTGGATGTTCTCAGTACCCAGGAAAGCAATGGTGAGGCTTGGTGGATTTATGTGTTGTGGTCATTGGATTCTAAGGGTAGCCAATGGAAAAGTCTCAGCTTGTATGATGCCTTTTCTGGCTGAAAATAGGGCATCTGAGCTCTTTTACCTAAGTGAACTGGGGGATGGCGATGAGAGGCTGCAGAACCAATAGGAATGGGATTCAGTCATTTCAGTTGTGTCTGCCTCTTTGTGACCCCATTTGGGGTTTTCTTGGCAAAGATACTGGATTGGTTTGTCATTTCCTTCTCCAGCTCATTTTACAGATAAGGAAACTGAGGCAAACTTGATCAGGGTTACACAGCTAGTAAGTGTCTGAGGACAAATTTGAATTCAGGAAGGTAAATCTTCCTGACTCCAGGCCCTGCACTATATCCAATATGCCACGTAGTTGCTCCAAAGGCCATGCTACTGGAAACCAAATAATCAAAGGAATGGAAACAAGACCAAAGTACAAGGGTAAGATGGGAATATAAATGGTTATGAAGGTTATTAAAAGAAATCCCACCCTAAAAAAGGTTTTATTGAGAAGCTTATCTTATAGGGGTTCCCCTCAAAGACCAAGGCTATGAAGATGTTCTTCCACTGAGGAAAGGCCTTAAGACAACCATACCAATGGTGGATGAGTCACAAAAGATAACAGTGTATGTCATACTTAGCACTCCCCCTCCCTGTCCCTATCCCTTTCTCAACAAGGACATGAATGGACTGTATACATTAGTGTAACACAGGTAAACACTAGAACCAGTTCTTACAAACACAATGAACTGTAACATAGACACTTAAGCCTGGGACAAACATTTTCTAAGAAATTTGCATAGGCAAGACTGGAAAGAACATGAAAGGGCATTATCACTACTAATGCTAATCACTATACTTTTGGGGGTCTAGCATGAGATTTGTAGAGGGAAAAGTCTAAGGATTTTACAAATGAGGGGGGAGATACAGTGAATGGGGATGGTAGGAGAGCCTAGATGAAAGGTCTCCCCCTCAATCTGCCCCATTCCCTGCCCCCATCTCCCTCAAAAGTACTGGAACTCAATGCTCAAAAGTTCCCTAGTTATTAATAAATAGCACAGATAGCAACTTTGACCATGTGGCCCTTCTATGTTAAAAGTGCATTCTTATTTTCCTTGCAGTGTATTATGTCAGCTCATCAAAGAACTAAAAATGAACCCTGGGTTGATGCAATCTATCGCCTGGAAAATATGAAACAGGCTGAAAAAAAAAACAAATCTTGCATTATTTTTACCACATTCTATACAAGTTGAGGTAATATCAAGGTTGACAGCTCAGATTGCTTTTCATTTCTATAAACAATCGGGGCCAAATTTTCAGGCATCAGCAGCTGAGACGCACCGGCAAAATCCATGTGGTTACCCACTGCACACAGGAAAACACCCATCTCTGCTTGCCAAACGAGCAAGTCAGTGCACAGGCCAACAGGAACTGGTGTTCACGGAGACCGGGATGTGTGTGCAATTACTGACCTCACACACAACTCCAGCATTTTGATCATTCGACATCTGAGAGGTGAAGCTTTCACATGAAAGTCTCAAATAGGTAGTTTTTCAACGAGGGAATTTAGCTCTCCCGGGCAAAATGATGATGATGCCATAATTAATCATCTACAGATCCTATTTAGAAAACAGTCTCTTATTTACATTTCTTTAAGAACAAAGCTCTGATGCAAATATACTTTAAACCAGTAAGTATTAGTCAGGTTTTAATTTCCCAATCCAGATTTGGAGCAGAAGCCGGGAGGGTGAACAAAGGTGCTTTAATTTGGTAAACACAAATTCTAAGAACTGAATCTGGTCCACTGAGTTGGTGTCAATCTGGAAACAGCTTTCCTGTTTAACACCAAGGGAAAAAAAAAACCTTATTTATATGCTTTTCCTCTGGGCAAAACAATAGGCAAAGAGAAATTATGGGCAGGTGGAATCACTGGAACCCAAATTTATGAACCATCCAAGCAAATTGATCACAATGTAACATACCCACCCTAAATTGGGAAGCCATAAGACTTATTGAGATGGGCTTCGTTGTCTCTGCCTCTAGTGGAAAATCACAAGAGGTGATTGGGAAGATTCACACCAGGCTGGGATGACTAAGGGATCCATTCTCTCCAACTAAAGAATGGTGTTAATTTGTATTTGTATCACATAATAAGCCTATTATCCCCATAAGACCCCAAGACCAGTTGTCTGCAAAGCAGACTAAGCCCACAAGGCAGCTTGTGTTGTGGTATGTCTCCCACAGAAGACGATTAGCAGATTTCTTTTAAAAGCATATAAGCCCTGAAGGTTCCTCCTAGAGGGGAACTTCCACACATGGAGCCCATCCTTGGCTGCTTAGACCCTGGGCAGAATAGTGGGATGATGGATGGAAGTTGTCAGTGATGCATTGTTTCTATAGCTGCCTTCGAGCTTTGCTGCACTGGCCCAAGCCAACTGGCAACATGTAGGGATAGCACAGCACACCTGGTTGTAACTGAAACAAACTGGTTGCCACAAGATGAAGAAATCTCTGAAACCTGCTGCTAATGATTTATTCCAGGGCATAGTCTTCAGTGTGCTTGCTGCTAAAGGCTTCTTTCTTCCTTCTTCTTTTCTTTTTTTTTTTTGTATTTATTGATTTCGCAGGTAATATGTAACTGTAGGACAGTGGATAGTCAGAATTGACTGGTCAGACACTTGTGCCTTTATCCCGAAGAAACATTAAATCACCATGGCAAAAAAAAAAAAAAATCACAAATTCCCTCAGGACTTTTTTTTTCCTTTCTAAGCCTCCTGCCCAGAAAACCTGGAAACCCAAAGAGCTACAGAGATCAAGGGGGAAGGACCCCCCTGAAAAACAGAACCATTAGGCATCAAATTTAACATAATTCCCCCAAATCTGACTGCAATTCTCAATTATGTGAGGAAGAAACACAAAGTGTATTCAGCACTCCTGCATATTTCTTCACTGATGTATTTCCAACTGTCCTGTAGAGGTTTTTCTCCTAGCTCTGCCTAGGATGTTTTAAGCTTTGTAATTGTCATTTTCTCTTAAGTGTTTGAACTAGAAGATGAGACACTTTTAGAGGTAGGCTTTTACACTCAGGCACATGGGGAAGGGGTGGGAGGAGGAAACCAGTTTTAACAAAAGCAATTTACTTTGCCAGTAGTTTTCTGTTTTCTCCCACTGTTATTGAAGACACTTGTGTTTCAGTAAGAGCTATTTTCCTCTATGCTTGTGATACCAAACTGTTGCCAAGGAAATGATTATGAAGTCACCAGTTTAGCTTATAATTTTACCAAAAGATCAAGAAAAAGAGAGATGGCTTGTGAAGCTGAAAACCCTCATGTAACACATGGGTATCTTTAATCATCAGAAATGTATGAGTCATCATCTGCAAAAGATTAATAAAGCTCTCAGTTTTACCAAAAACTATTTAATGAAAAAAAAAATCCTCCATATTGGTGCCTATTTACCTTTCTGTTGATTTAGCTGACTTAGGACAAATTAACAATGATCTAAAAGAAACTTAGGGGATTCTACCAGAGACTCAAGTAGGAAAAACTGCAGTCATAAATAGCCTCCAACTTGGGTAAACCCTGGGATCTGACGGGTCCCTTAAAGATTATTATAAAAAGTTAAGTGATTTATTGGTCTCCCATTTGCTCCAGATGTAGAATTTTGATCTGAAGAAAGAATTCCTCAAGTACCTCCAGGAGGGACTCATTCATTGAACTTTAGCTTAACCGGGCAAATTCTGCCTCCTTTGCTCTGAATTTAAACTCCTGACAAAGGTTTGTTTAACAGGCTGGGGTGGGAAGGAGAGGGGAGAAAATGACATCTAATTGTTCACAGTACTTAGAGGAGCTGAAATAAGCAGCAGTGTGTTTTATCAATAACTGGAAAATGTGAATTAAATCCTATCAAGGAAAAGTCTCCAATAACAGGAAGGAATTGGGGAATTGTCTAAACCAGGGGAAGGTGTGTGGGCCCACCATCACTTGAACAATTTAAGACTGAGATGAACTCCACTCTAGGAGGAATAACTTGGGAATAATCCAGTGAATTCATTCAATGGAAGAATAGGGAGAAAACTGTTCCAGTCCAGATACTGAAGTGATGTCAACATAAATTTGTATTCTACCCGATAACCCATCTCTTCCAACTAGCAGCCATTATAATAAAGGCAAAGGAGAACCCCCACCAGTCTGTTCTCTGTGATCCTTCCTAAATATGACTGTCTTTAGATTGCAGTATATCATATTTCTCCTATGCAAGTCCTTTAAAAAAATCAAAGAATATCAGAATTGAAAAAAGACCTTAAAGGGTCATGCAATTTAATCCATAAATGAACAAAAACTCTGCTCTACAGCAAATTCCAGAAGTGGTCATGTAGCCATTGCTTGAAGACTTCTGGTGAGGGGGAAACTATGTTTACAACCAAGAA